GGTTATTGCCTACCTGGAAACACTTCTCAGATACTTTCCTGTATGAAAATAGAAAGAGCAGGAGCAAACCAGTTTATAAATATTTGGCAATTTTTGACTAATTGGTGCTGATTACAGTTACAGAAGGCTAGAAAATTTGTAAAGCAACACTCTCAAGATAGAGGAATTTGGATTCACTCAGCCCTACCCTATTTGGCTTGAATTAAAAACATCCTTTTGTTTTCAAAGTTGTTTCTTTTCTAATTATCAAACACTGTTAAGCAAGCAAACCCACTTTGCTAGGAAACAAACAGTGAGGTTCTGTTGAGAAAGATACTTAAGTCCCTGCCTTGCAAAGACTTGCTGAAAGTCCTCTTGTCATTTTAAGCAATTTCTAACATGCAAGCATGTTCTTTTCTTTCCACAGACTGTAGAGCTGGCAGACAAAAGAGTGCGGAGGGATTTAGTGGTTGTTAAAATAAGTGAAACGTCTTAAAATGGAACGCTGAACAAGAACCAGGTGCACTTCTGTTGCCAATCCACTGAATTCAGTCAAACTACAACAAATACTATTTTGGCCAACTATAACCTTTGATGCTTACCAGTTTTCTTTGTTAAAAAAACCAAACCAAACCAAAAAAATCCCACATCTCGACTGAATGCTGCACATGCAAATGGCAGTATAGCATCCCAGCCACACACATCCCACAGTCATCATCTGGAGATAGAGTCGTTCCTTCACAGTAGATTCATTCTCTCTCTAGAACAATCTTAGCGTGCTATCAGGATAATTAGAATAAACCTGAGATAAAGCAGCCACAGAGAGTGCAAACGGAACAGCAACAGTCATCTTTTCTTCCAATTATTCACCTTCTCTATCAAAACGAGTTTGTGCTCTTTGGCAATACATTTAATTTTCATTTTAACATCTCTGATTTTATTTTCAGAACACCTCAGAGCCTAGGCTTGTACCAGGATCCACCAGTGGGTTCCACACAAACTGATAGTTCCTATCCAAAAGGAAACTTGCATTTTCAGCAGGAGGGAAGTGTTTGTTTTAACAACACTATCTCTTACTCAATACGCCAAGTAATAATCCTGAAAATTATCATTGAGAACTAAAAAAACCCACCTCAACAAAAGACAAGTCAAACCTTTTCCATTTACCTCTTCCCTCTGGTGGGGGTGGGGGGCTTTTTCAAAACCAGTTGTCATTTGGTATTTGAGAGAGAGAGAAATATTAGTAAGTATAAAGCATATGAAAAGTTTTTCAGGGAGTCGGAAGGGATTACTTATTTCTTTCAACTTTCTGTTCCCATAGAAAACATTTCATCCTCATTTATCACTACTCCCCCTCTCCTTGCCCCAAATGCCATTAATTACAAGCAGTAATTGTTTTTACTCGTTTTTAATGATAGCAGTAGCTACTAAGCCCACATTAGTTTAGTCCATCACTTCACTTCAAACAACTCCCAAAATATTATCATGAACAATCCCAATCCCCAAATTGGTCTAAATATAAATGAGACGTGTATGACCTTAGCAATCGAGAGGAAAACAGCCAAGTGCGGCTAAAAGTATGCCAGCTACAATATCCAAGTTACAAACTGAAAAACATGATTATTAAGGGGAATTGGGATACATTTAAAACTCTTAACATAACAGAAAATACTACTCATTTGTGGCCACAGGTTGTATATCTTTGTGGTCAACTTCCTATTATGCAGCAAATGAGCAACCTTTTGTAAATCCATACACATCTATTTATGGTAAGTGATGCCTTAAGGCAAAAAAAAAAAAAAAAAAAAAGTACTCAGCAAGATCAAGAGCCATTTCTGTTCCTTCCTGCCCACAACACACACACAAGACTCGATGAGTACTATGACTTTAAAACCACAAAGAAACCAATGGCAACTGTCTCAGACTTCTACATGGCAGTAGGAAGACCTTCTGCTTCTTGTGGTTCCAAATCTGACGCTTGACTGCATGCAGTGTAACAGAAACGTCTGTGCTAAGGTACTGGTCGAGGAGGAGGAAATCTGATACAAACTTAGAATTAGAAATGTAATAAAATCTTCAGTCTATTATGGAGGACGATTAGTGCAATCCACAAGAAACACTTCCCATGGAATTGAAAGAGAAACAGCATTTATGAGAAAAAATTAAAATCACTTACTGCTTTACATTTGTCAAAATTCCTATACTGTTAGGAAGGAGGGATAAGGAACTAAATCCAGGGAGCAAACTGTCCAAAGCCTGGCTATATTCAACACAAATGTACACAACCTTACTACCATCAAAGGGTTCAAAATCATTTAAAAGGCAATTGCTTCTGTCTGCAATACTGTATCATGCCAACAAACCAAGATACTTTGGGTACATTTTGTTTTTATCATGTCCTTTCATCTTTTGTTCTTTTGGTAACAAGGCCAAAGAGGTGTAGGATTTCAAAAGAGACATACTGCTTTCTTGTTCACTTCTAATTTTCCATTTTAACACATCAGCTTGGAAATGGTTATTCTGCACACAGTATACCTACAAAGCAAATCCTGTTCATTTCACAAAGCTCTGCTGTAGCCTTCCTGGCCACCTTGATCTGGAATTTCATAGGTAGGCATTTTTGAAATGAACAAAAAGGCGTATAACTGTAATACAGGAATCATCTGTCACACCCACACCTCATATTATTCCTATCGAAATTCCTGTGGGAAAACAGGTACAAGTCAAACTGTGAAGACTGGTTCCCAAATTAGGCTAGGAGTTTAACTTAACATGGAGTAGATCTGAAACAGGCACTCTTTATGAGACTTCCCCTCATCTTAAACATACCACCACTGTTATGCAGACATTCACACGCACCACATCTTGTACCTTCATCTTTTCTGAGGTACAGAAAAGATTTTCTCTCTGCCTTCAGGATTGTAGCTAAAGGCTTCAGACTCTAAGGTTTTTGACTTTGCTCGCTTTCTGGATGTGAAATCAGCATCTCCTCTTAGTGGTCTCTCACCTGTGGTGAAAACTAGGACTCACTACATCTTTTTAATGCAAAAGCATGATATTGAACCGCTGTAACAAACCATAAGAGAAGTCTGTCCTGCTGTTTATAAATCCTACGTAAAAGGAAGACCTAAAGCAAGCTACGTTTACCTCAAGCAGCAGACTAAGCTTACCTTTGTTTTGAGTGCAGATCTCTTTAAGAGAAAAATCTAGCTGTCCCCTGTGTATGTGCTTTAGCCTCTCCTGATCTTTTGCCCAGCCAATGCAGAGACAAATGCTCTGTCTGCAATTTGGTTGAGCATCATAGGGTAACACCCTGCCTCTTAAATGCTTGCTTGAGAAAAAGAGTATCTGGATACATCTCATGTTCTCATGGTATATTCTCTGGCTTCAACTCTAGTGATTTCTCTGCAGATTCACAATAAGCTCAGTATCTATGCTAACACATCATATTTATGTTGTATCACAGGTAATTAAAAATATATCATGCACACAAATTACACACAAAAGCCTATTAAGTGGCACATATGACTTCTGAACATCAGGGAAACAAGCTAATTGTACTTGTGAATGGTCTGTGATCAAGTCTTCTACAAGACACGAGCAGCATATGGTTCTGTATCTTCCAACAGTGTGCTGCCTACACATTTATCTCTGCTTTCAATTTCCTGTATCTACAGTGCAATGCATAAGGATGGGAAGGTCAAATCCATCTATCCAATCAATCTTAGCAATTAAAAAATATTTGACATCAGTGCATTGCTTGCTGAGGGCTATGTATATACAAAGGAGGGGGAAAAGGATGGGGGGAAAAAAAGGAAGCAAATGATATGGAAACATCCTGGGTAGAAATTGAGACATCTTCTTCAGCCAAGATTCAGTCTCTCTGATGTTACTCCTTCTAAAAGGCACTGCACAGTCTTATCCAACTATAAAGGCTCTGATGACTCCCTAAGGAGTGCTCTGCCTACCCCATGTAATGATGCCAAATGACTGTTCTCTTCCCCCCTTACCCCTGCCCTATTTTCCCCTAATTCTCTGCAGATTGAAGTCTGCTGTGGATCAGGAAATACTCCTGTACAAGAGTGATAGAGCGGAAAAAAGTCACAGCTCCCAGTCAATGCTTCTGCCCCTAAAACTCTCACCAATGTAGTCATTAGATGGTCAATGCTGAATTCAGATTACAAAAATCAATGTAAACTGAGCCTAGAGAGTGGCTAATTAAGTATTCTAGCTCTACCTCTCTCTAATTTCATAACAGGAAAGTTGTAAAAACAAGAACTTTGGCATCCATTTAATAACTTCTCTCATGTTTTTACTTGCAGCATGTCAGGCTTGCATGTGCACTGAGGTGTGTAGACACCGGTGTGACATTCTGAGTCCCTACAGGAAAACTATATCCATTAAAAGCACAACATTCACTCAAGCAAAGCATTGGGAAAGCATCCACACTGGAGTCAGAATCTGAAGGCAGCTACTGGAGGCTTTCAACTCCTGCATATATCAGCAGATGACAGAAGAAAAATCTAAGAAATAAAAGGGCAATTTGGAAACAGGTAAATCTATGAGGAGAAATATGCAATATGCACATCCTTTGCTGTTTGTTTATCTGTAAATTTACAGTCTAGTGCACCTCCTGCAACACTCCAAATAACATAGTAAGCACTGAAGGCTACAAACTCACCACATCATTTTGTTGTTCTTAAAATTCTATATTAGGATTCCAACTAGAAGCTTTAGAACAAAAAATTTTTTGAGCAAATTTACAAATAATAAAGTAACTCGTACCAACCAGTTGTGTCTCAGTCCAATTCAGTACATTAACAAGAATCTCTCTTAAACAACTACTACAGCTTTATTTCCATTAGAGCCACTAAAGCTAAATAGGGAAGGGCAGACAGCTACTTAACACATCAGTGAAGTGGCATTAGGTTCAAGCAAATAAGCTCTCCTTCCTCCCTTGCAAAGGCTCTGGCACAGTTGCGAAAGGTTTTGCCTTGGTCTCATGTGATCGAATTACTCACCTTCCCCATCAGGGCTCATATTTTCGTAGGAATCCCAGCGTATTAGTGGGTCTGAGGTATTGTAATCAACTATGACTCCATGGTCATTCTGAAGGTGTTCACATCCTAAAAAATAAACATCTGTTTGAGACCAAAAATTATCATAGCCACATTTGTAATGATATACACGCACAGATGCATGTGGCCTTCTGACAGAAGTTTGCTCCCCAAACTGCAATACCATATTCTGAAATGTGACAAGCAGCAATAGGGGAAGAAAGGTTATGTAAAGCAGCTAAAAAAAAAGCTTAATTTATGTTTCATTACAAGCAGAGAATTTTATCTTGAGCTTCTTGGTTATGATGTAGCTCTGATAACTTGCATCAGCCCCTAAACACAGCTAACACAGATGATCCACCCAGCCCTATAGTTAGGCACGATAAAACAAATAGCTTTTCAGAATGAAACCACAAGTATCTATAAAGAGATGGTAGTAAAGGAATGATAAAGACAGACACTTACAGATTATCATTCCGATACCAGAGCAACTTACCACTGAAGACGAATAGGGAGAGCTGAAAGCTGCCACTCCGTGTCCCTCCCAGCTCCCCCAAGGTGCCAACTACACCGTTTGCATCCCCTCTCCAGGCTCCTGGCAGACCCCGAGACTGGGCAGCTTGCCTTCAATGTGTTTGGCTGCACTAAAGTACGCTCTGCCAAACATACCTGGAATTTTCAGCAGTAACCCGCGTTTTTGTGCCCTTAATGAGGCATAAGATAATATTCAGCTTTTAAATGTATACTGTGAGGAATTTAGGTGTGGCCCAGTGATTCAAAAGCAAAGCACAGGCATCAGGAACTCATGACCTTGGACTTGGCTTTGACACTGATACAAATCAAATCGGCTTTCTGCCTTTGCTCCTCTAGATCAGCGAACAAAGAAATCCTCAGTTATCAACTCTTCGGCTGTGTCTGCAGAAGCAAGTCCTACTGTAAATTGTTCTAAAGCAGCAGAGTGTTATGCACATGCTGTGACTTTCAAAACAAGGATAGTTAAAATTAGAAGGACAAGAATGCTATGGTCCTGTACCTTTTTAGGCAGACAGGAAAAAGCCATCCGTAGAGAGTTTCTGTGATGACGTTTGTCACAAGGCAAATTTATGAAGTTTGTTACCTAAACATTTAGGTATCTCATCCTCTTGGCAAGTGTATTCTTTCTTAAAAACTGTATCACAGTCAGTTATTTTCTAGAATACTGTGTCCAGTTTCGAGCTACACAATAGGAGAAAGATATGAATAAAGCAAAGCAAGTTCAGGGGAGGGCGACCAGGGTGGTCAGGACTGAAGGACTTGCCCTGCGAGGAAAGGCTGAGGGACCAGGGCTTCTTCAGTCTGGAGATGAGATGGTCTGGGGGGGGGAACCTGACAGCAGACCCCCCAAGGCCACGGGGCAGACAGAGCCAGGTGGGAGCAAGGGGGAAGGACAACAAGCAACAGGCGTAAGTTGAATCTAGAGAAGGTTAGAGTCAATATAAGGAAAGAATAAATCCACTGTGAGGACAGTCAGGCATTAGAACAGTCTGCCCATTGAGGTTGTGAAGTCTCCATCCTTGGAGGTTTTCGAGATTTGACTGGACAAAGCTCTGGGCAATCTGGTTCGATCTCAGAGATGACCCTCTTCAGCAGGAGGATGGACTAGAGATACCCTGCAGTTATTCTGTGATTCTATAACATTTTCAGATATGGAAAAGGCATTTTGCAGAAACTGTAAATAAGTATTTCAAGGTGAACTCTTCTTCCTAGCCAATTAATCCCCTAGATAGCAATTGAATACAAATTTCCAGTTACTTAGAACCTTACTTTCCAACAACTTGGAGCCTGCTAAAAAACACACCTCTGATTTGCCATCTAAGGAAGGGAGACTTGAAAAAATTTTGATCCTTTTTCAGGCACGTCGGCTGGCCTCTCTTCATGCATTTACTATCCAGCAATGTTTAGAACAAGCTAGACAAATTTATTTATAAAACTGTTTTTCTTATATGGCTTTCCAACAGGGCAAGTGAGATCTTCGTGTTCAGCTGGACAGAATCCAACTTCTTACTGGCTGCTACTACAAGTTTCTAAGTGATTGAACTGGCGGGGAAAAAAAAAAAAAGGAAAACATGCAATTCACAGGACACTGAATGGGAATATGTATGAGACAGTTAAGAATATTCAGTTTTCATTCAGTTTCAGGCAGAATCCATACTTTTCGGGACACTACAAAATGAGTAAGAACACATCCGTTAACGGAATTAAACTGCACTATTTCGTATTGCAGGTCATAATTATCTATGATCTTAGACATATTACAGTAGAATTCTGGAGGCATACAGGATAAACCCTACAAGTCCACTTCAGAGCAGAAGCATTTTCAACAAAACTATAGCTATATCCCTTTACACTAAAATGAAGACAGTCCAGACTTCACCACTGCAAACATAATCAGTTATGACAACATCTAAATAAGATTATGGGATAGGGCACTGCTGTACCTGATGCCAGGCCAAGCTACCTATACTATCTATGTTTTACACTGATTCACAAATGTTTTCTACTAGTCATCAGCAACTGTTCTGGTATAGTTTTAAAACAAAATCTGATCACTCCTGCTGATGTAAATGCAGAGCCTTCATTAAATTTTTCAAATTTAAACCAGTAACTCTATTACATATTTTAACAGTAAAGTTGAACTTCAGACTTCTACAAAAGTAGTGGAATAAAAAAAAGGAAAAAAGGAGTTTTTAAAAAGATACATATTTCAATGTGGTTTATTTTCAAACTAATCATATTTTTCCTGCTGTATACTCACCTTGAATTTTCTCTGGAGTTCCTGAAAACACTAATTCCACTTTGCCGTAATCAGGGAAACGGTCATCTGAAAACAAAGGATAGTATTTCAACAAGCTATCTCTCAGGAAAGCAGTTCCAAGGCACTCAGAAATCAGGATTCTCTATAGCTACTAATACACGTACCCTCGTCACTCTTCTGTTCTCACTTGCAGTTTAGCAATTTGCTTCTAAAAGAGCCACATTCTTTGCCCCACACATTCTTCAGAAAAGCCCATATAAGCATCAGTTGGAGTTTTGTTTACTTCCAAGAACAGTCAAAAGCAGAAGAGGGGTACAGTTCCCAAACCTCTCTCTAGATAGACATGGCTGCCTTTGGTTTTAGAGGAGAACACACCCAGGAGCAAACTAAAATTGTTCCCTATATTGGCTAAACTGCAATACTTGACCACAAAACTTTTGTGTAGCCACATGTTGCAGGAAAATATGTTTGATTTTAGTTTGCTACTAACATAGGGTGAGGGAGTTGCAATCCTGCATATAAATATAAAACTGAAGTAATAATACAAAGACTAGCACAACATGTTTTTAAATGTGTCTCAAAACTTTGCCTCCATTTTTGGATATTCTGAAGCATATTAAAAGATCTCCATACTCAAGCAGACTAGGTCACGAACACAGTATCGGACTTTGTGACTCTCTTCATCAGCCAAAAAAGGGATTGGCTTAGCTCATCTTATTTCCTGTAATGGTGACTAACAGAGTCACCATTTTAAACCAATGTCTGTTGTTTTTACAGATGTGAGAGGGGGTGATAAGGATTATGTAAGAGTACCTGAATTATTCTGACAGGTTAACTCACTTGAAGAGCTTTTCTTCTCGTTAGGGGTTTACCTGTGTTACATGCTATGAGTTAACTAACACAAAGCAGTCTCCCTTTCCCTAAAAATAGGGATGGAAAAAAACCCCCAAGAATCCTTTTGAAAACAGGTCCCGAAGATGATCATGACATGCGCAGGCACACACATGCACCCCTGCACACATACGCATCCAACCGACCGCAGAAGGCAAGTACCCTTGTTGGCATTGTCCAAATCCTCTTTGCCAAACACCAGGCCATGTCCTTGAATAGCTCCAGTGTGAAACTGAAGGCGAAAAACCACATCACGAGTAGCTGACCGGTATTTTTTGTGATAACACTTCAGCTAGAAAGAGAGAGAGAGAGAAGCACGTCAGGAAGTAATTTCTTACAAATCCGAACGAACGTGTGTATATGCGTTAGTTGCTAAGTAAAGCAGCCACAGCGCAATTTACTGCAGACACCTCTGATGTTGTAACAAGCAGAGTATGCGTTATTCAACCCTTTAAAATTATACAGGCCCAAGGCAAGATACTTCTGGATGTGTAAAAATAATAATTACTATTTTCATCACTATCAGTCACCGATCAGTAGATTATGATTCAGAATCACAACATTTGTCAGTACAATGTTGGAATGCTGACGTGTATCCATACTTCTTCACGGTACCCAATTAATGTAAAACTGACTTACAGCACACCCATTTCAAAATAACTGAAGAATATACAGAGTTTTTAGAAGCAAGCCTGCAAGCTGATTACATCTATTTTAGGACTTTTTAAAAACCTACTCTAGTGATGATAGGATCTTGTTTTATGTTACTGTGGGAAGTTGGTAGTATTTTTGACACCTTGTCTAGAACAACACAGAACTCTGTAAAAATAACCCCTAGTATGAATTTCAGCAGCTAAAGGCGAACACAATACACCTACTCTCTAACACCACCTTCCCTTAGACTAGACCTATGGATATTTTGCCTACCAATTCTCTGAGTCAACTGTAATACAAAACCACTCATCATTCTTATAGGAATACATAAAAATTTTGGTAACCTTAGTCACAGGACTGAAAATTTTATATTATCCTGATGATATCAGGATTTTATGATAAAGCAGATGTTACTGAAATGCATTAAAAAAAAACCAACAAAAATCACCTTTTTAAAGGCAGACTGAGAAAAGCATTCTAGACAGAAAATACTGAGTAACTGAAGAGCAGTTATTCAAACTGAAGTAATAGAAGAAAGATGTAGGGGTTTAAGAGGGATGCTTCTGAAATTCAGGATTAAAACACAGTTAGGAAATTCTCCTCCCTACAGGATTTGAAAAATCTAACATAACCTGTTGCTCTTTACCTTTCATTATAGTAACGCCATGATGTCTTAAATTCCAGAAGTTAATCAGCCCTGACCATATACACGGCACACAGGACAACTTCTGAAATATTTCAGCCCATATACCATAGATGGTTTTTTTCAGGTATTCTCTAAGCAAACCACATATTCCTAACCCTTTATAAAGGCTGATAGATTCTCTATGCAAGTAAGCATTATTTTATCTGAAAGTGAAGATTTGGGGTTGTTTCTGGTTTTTTTAAAAGAGAATCCCCTGCAGCATAGTGGTAATACCAGGTAAAATAATATTTGCTTCTCATTTTAAACAGTGCTTTACACCCACTAAAACTAACACAGTGTACAAACCCCTAGTTATTGAAGGGATCTATTTCCTTTTAGTCCAATCACAACTACCAGCACCATTACGCTAGAACCACAGCCATAAGTCAGCGCCTTAAATTACCGAAATATAAGGTAGGGGGAACAGACTGCTTGATTCAAGAGTAAACGCCCATTCTCCACTATGCCCAGCAGCTCTATGTAAAGGCAAAACACCATCACAAAGGATGAAACCCGCAAGTTTGCCTGGAAGTGAAAAATGGACAGAAAGGGGATTAAGAGAGCCCCTGATGAGAGATGTTAGAATTAACCTACTCCAAAATGTATAACTGGCCTGAAAGTAACTGTGATAAGTCTTTTCAAGCTTCTTTTTGCTCACATAATATAATGAAATAGCATTAAGAGCCTCTTTAAGGTTATATATGTTCGTCCACAATTTTGCTTTAAAAACATTAACTTCTTTAGCTGTTTAAACAATCACGTTATTTTTACATGTGGATCATAGATGAGAGTTCCTGAAGATGCAGAAGACTAAATACCTGAACAATACATTTTATCCTCCAACTTGTCAAGAGTTCTGGCTTCGCACAGTTGCTGGATTTACTCAGAATCTACTGAGTTTTGCATAACCGTGTTTATAAAAATGCTAAATCTGGGTCAGTTCAGAGAACTATGCAGTTCCTGCTTCTTTCTACTTTCTAATTCAACGTAACAGCCTTGAATAATTTTAACTCAGCGTATCCTGAACAACTTATTTATATAGAATTCTAATTGTTCGTGAAAATCTGGCCTCTTTTACAATCAGTAACAGTGTACATCTACACCCAGGATACCAAAAAAATCTTTTAATGCTCAGTATACCTAATAAGCTTTCAATGAAGTCTGAGCTTAACTTTGAATTCAGACTACCCTCTGATGCCATATTCTGGAATTAATGCAACCACTGCACATAGGTATTTCCCAGTATATTACATTTACAGATGTCAGTGCAGCTTTCCAACAGCTGTGGCAGTGCCGTATCACCACATACTACTCACATTGCATTAACAAATTCTCTAAACCAAAGACAAGCAAGTGTATTTTTTTTTTTTTTTTTTTACACCCATGCACTTCAAGTGGTTAAACCTTTTGGTGTTGGAGGCGGAACACCCTATAGATTTTTCTTTTTCCTGAAACCACTGATGCTTTTGCTTAGAAATAGTAAAAAAAAAATTCAAAACTGAAGTCTTTGTTTAGGAAATACTATCATGCTGAATAAGATGTTGCCTTGCTCAGAAGAATTACCTCCAATAATAGCATGGGATTAACGAAGTTGATCTCTTTTAAAACGATGCAAGCATTACTGAAAGGCTATGTGCTCATTTTTCATGTTAAACACACATTTCAGAGATACTGAATTTGTCTCAGACCAATTTCTTTTGTGATCTATTCCATTTCCTTAGGCACCAACAGTCCTCCAATGAGTAACAAATCTTCCTGAATTTGAAACTGTCCCAAACCTCCAGAGTATACCAATTTGTAACAGTATATTTAAATTTTTTTTCTCCATTTTTCAATGAAAAAAGGAAGAACAATATACTAAGCTGAACGGGGAGGGGAAGTAGGAAAGTGAGAAGGAGGAAGGATAATAAAAAAGATTATTTAAAAAAAAAAAAGAAAAAAAAAAAGAATCTGATACCAAGGACCAGTTACATGGAGGTCCAACATTTCTCAAAGTAATACATAAAATAAAAAAAAACATTCTGAAGCCTACTAGCAATAGACCAGGAATACTTTCTGACAGTACTTCCCCCCCACCATTCACTCCACATGTTCTTCTGGCCTCTTAGTTTAACAAATTGAAAGGGAACTACCTTTCTTTACTTTCTCTGTGCATAACTGTGTATGACAAGCAAGAGGGAAAGCAGACAGATTTATAATGATAGTGCTGCAATTCAATCATAGTTACACTTTGCACACAGGGAATTACACACGCTATATTAACCTGTATAGATTGCTTTCTAAATACTGCATGTGCTTGTAGAATCAGAAAGCTTTTATTTGGTATCACACCTTTTTGAGGCCCAAACCAATTCCGAATTAGTTAGGTATTTTCTTTACAGCATAGAGTTTTATGATTGTGCACATTGCCTGCCAAGTTACAGGACAAGGGTATTTTAATGCCTAGTTACAAATACTCCCCAAAGCAATTTTTATAAAGAAAATAGCAACACAGGCCTTACTGTACTTGGTGATGCTATGAAATGGGAATGCTGAGAGCAATTGTTTCGGCTCCTAAAAACCTTCTAGTTTGAGTTTTATAGGAATTTTGATTCCTATAAAACTCAAGGTTGATGACTAAATAAACTTAATAACCTCTTTTGTAGTATGTCTGCAACCATTTGCTCAATTTATTTTTTTTACAAGAACGCAAAACAGGTCAGAGACTGTAAACCAAATGGCACAGTACTAGATTTTCATTCCATACAATTAACTTACCATAATATCTCCCTTCAAAAGCTGGGCAGGGTCTATAGCAATGCAGATCCGGCTTTGATTTTCTGGCCCTATGCTACTTAACAGGAGAGAAAAGAAAAATAGAATTTACGGTTGAAAGAAACAAAAAACAAAAAAAAAAAGAAAAGACGACTATGTAATTCTGCAGTTATGAGAATTAAAATCTGGATTCAAACGTAAAGGAAACTGCTTACGACTTACTATATTCCAGATGTATAAACTGGTTGCATAGCCTGGTATAACTTCAGAAAAGGCCGGCAAGCTGAAAAGTCAAGAGAAAAGACTGTTTTGTAATTATTTTCCTTTATCTAAATATTACAACTAGGAAGTTTCACGCACATCCAGACTGAGCGAAGTGGCACACAAGTGGCATAATGTTGACTGTCAAAATATCCGTCAAAGCAAAACTGGCTTTGACAGATTCATTTCCCCCCCAAAAGTGTTTGATTATATTTTATGAAAAAGTAACTTTTTCCTGATCTTCAGACTAGTTCTGAATTGGGGAGGAAGGAATTTTAAAGGATTCCAGTAAGGAAAGAAAGAGGGAGCACTGCTCCTTATAAAATTGTCTGTCTGCCTGCCTGCCTGCCCACTTTTTCTGCAGGAAAACAAAATTATTAACGGGAAAAAAGAGAATGGCCAAAACAAAACAAACCAAACCACCAAACCCCAAAACAAAATAAAAAGAATTTTCAAAATGAAACAAAATATTTGACCTACAGTTTTCTTTCAAAACTAGTGAGTCCCTTAAATTTCTTACTACAACAAACTATACCTTGTCTTTATCAAAGTAGTTGTTTTAGACATAAAAACAGATTAAACAACAATGAGAACGCAGCATTGCAAATTCATGCTGATGACATTTCAAAAGATAGGTGCTATTTAACTCTCAGATGATAAAAGTACAGTTACGCTCCTTTATTATACTCTAGTACAACATGTTGGTTTAGCATTTTAATTTTAAAGCCAGTTATTATGGCAGGCCACCTTAGAAGCACACCATATCCAAAATGGCTTTTCTACAGAAAATCCAATCTTAAAACAGAAAAGAGATTGGATTTCTGATTAAATTTATTTCCTAAGCAAGGAGGAAATTACTCTGAAACCTGACCAGGTTCTCAGCTCTTTTCCAGGGACTGGGATCACAACTGTTCAGAAACTAGGCAGACATGAATAACATCAACTCTTCATTTAACAAAGGACAAGAATTTTATTTCACCTGCTGTAATTTTTACTCTTAGGATTCTCTTCTTCTGGTTCATGTTTTTCTGGAACATTTGGACTGCTATCAAGGAGCATCAACTCTACTTTGAGATTCACGCAGGCTTTCTAGAAAGCTCCAAAATGAAACAAGACTTTGAGCCTACATTTGGATAGGAAAAGTTAGGTACCTTACCTCCCCCAGCATCGAAGCTTGGGATGCCATGAAGGATAACATAGTGCAGGAAAAGAGGGGTTGCATTCATTTTCACAGATCCAGATAGAAGGCCACTTAAGAATTGCACGTATCTAAAAATACAAAGTTTATCTGAATTAGATAAAACCAGTAATGCAACTGTATCAGGGAAATACATTCTTTACACATTAATATTTCTAGGCCGTGGGTACTGAATAATATTGTGACATTAAACACGACTCTGAAAGAATAATCTTCACAAAACAGCATGAAAAGACACTTTTACCGCTTTATTAAATCCATGGCTGTGACGTGGCTATTGTTGATGTCTTCCTTTTAGTTATTTACGTCACTGCTCTAAGTAAGAAAGAAACTAGCAGAGACAGTAAAGTCAATAATTTTGGTATATATTTCTAGTTCCAACTGAAGGTCTCAGTTGGCTTTCACAGCAGCATGACATGGGTCGCACTCCATCTACAGTGAAGCGCACTTCATTAAAACAAGAGCAAGAAGTGCCCTTGGTCAGAAATCTTAGCGTTAAGGCCAATGCAGGCAAATAACATCTTCATAACGAGAAGTGATCTCATTCAGTACCAAACAGAGGAAAACTAACAAAGCAACGTGAAAATCATTGTATTTCTGCTATTTAATACCCAGTTTGGTCACAAGCTCATGAGCAAGTACATGCAAGTGAACATCACTGCAGTGTGTGTTAAACAAATTCTTCCTATCTTCTTAAATAACCAAGGGAAATTGGTCTCCTTTAATTTCTCTACTGGCTTCGAGTCCCTTTTTCTTCCATGCCCATGACACGACCTTCATTTAACTTCACTCTCAGGAATGTACAGGAAAAAGAATATCACCTCTTTTTCCCCCTTTACACACAGATCAAATTAACTGTTCCCTTACTGCAGGCTGCCGGTAACACCACAACTAAAGACATCCTGCCCAACAACAACAGCTTTACTACCCCAGAACGGGGGCTGTGGTGGTTTAAAATAGGTTTCATTTTATAGACAGCTAGCAAAGCTCACTTTATTTTGAAATGTTAAGAAAAACAACTTTGCTTTTTGATTTCCTCCTTCAGTCTTTCTGAAAATATTTGGTACATCAAAAGCGCAAATTTACAAATTGTCACATGTACATGACAAAAAATATTTTGTCAGTGACCTCTCAGTCTGAACTTTTCCTCTCTACCACTACCCATTTTTAATTATTCCAAAAATTTGACTGACTTTTTGAACACCTTTCTCAAGGCAGTGCATTTAAGAGGCTTATAGGCAGTTGGCTTATTTTTGAAAAGCATGTTCAAAGATTTATCCTGAAGGTTTATGAGAAATTTCTAAATATGAAGAGTCTGTATCTGCACTTCTTATTCAGGCAAACCTTCAACTGCTTATCTGAGAATAAGTATCCCTTTTAAGTACTGTCAGAATGGATTCAGAATAAGAGATCTGGTCTGTGGTTGCTTTTCTTGCCGCTGTTACAGCATGCAACCAGCAGTGGGGAAAAGTTAAGTGATTATTTTCAGGACTGACACACTTAATGGCCACAATATATTTTTTTCTGGACAAAACCTAGTGGAGAAAAAGTTTCAAAATACAAATAATGGGTGTATTTTCAAATTTTATAATTTTGATATTCACCTAAATTATACACATTTATACATCAACTGGATTTTAACAAGGACATCGGTAATTAATTATCCAAGAATGGTTTCAGAGAAAAAGCACATTAAAAAGGTGATTCAGGCCACTAACTGACCAAAACGGGATCAAAAAAGGAATATAAAATTGCCCACAAATATTACAGAGTTGGTTTTCCGTTCTCTGCAATAGGATTAGTACCCACTGCCAGGCCAGGCAAAGGTAGGAAAGGAGGTTGAGGAGGAGAACGGTTCTGGCGGATGGTTTGGAGAACCTCCTCTGTTCTCACGGCGAGTGACCCGCTCCAAAGTACCCGTGCGCGCCTGCGCCTGGAAGACCGTAAGGGCAGCTCAAGTTCAGTACTACTGAGCAAAGGTGCTAATTCCATCAGTCAGGAGGTGAACTGAGTCTCTCCGAGACTTCACACCCAGAAGAATTAAGCAAGTGTCCTTGCAGAGGGTAGGAAAGCTAGATACCACCATTTACACTTCTTTCATCTCTAGCTTTAGGGCTCGCATATAAGTTAGTAGCTACTGAAGCTTTCTGTCAACACGGTTGTAAAAACTGCCCTGATGCACAACTCTGAGGCTGCTGTGAGGGCGCCTGGCTCTCATGGAAATAAGCCTGCTGCATAAGGCTCCTTGACAGGAAGATTAACAACATCTATTTCCTTTTGCTCCTACGGTTCACATTTCTCTACCTTGTAGGCACCACTCTCAAATCCTTTTTATTAGAATGCAATACACATACATGCAAGCATAAAAATGAAGGGGAAAAAAGAGACCAGTAAACTTGTAGTTATGAAAAGTTTAGTTCAAGTCTAAGGGAATGCCGTGTTACTATTTTTCAAATGGAAAAAGAGCTGTGCAGGTCACCAAATGGGTTCAAGAAGCAACAGAAAATTTTTTCTTATTTACAGATTAACAGAACCAAATGCCTTATGCTGGTTGTTACTACTTATTTTTCTAGTTTAATCACTAGCAAAGCCTTATCCTTTAAACAACTTCTAAAAAACCTACTGTATACACGCTGATTAAGACCAAAAATGAACAGTAATTACTAAATCAAATCCAGTTGATACTTTATGTTTCTAAAAGAAGATTCACCTATATCACAATTACCTGTCTGATGGATATCAATCTCTTTTGGTACTGAATCCTTCATTACCTCTGTCAAAATGAGGTAAATAGCGAACCCCAGAACTATTCACTTTCCAAACTGCTTACTTTGAGTCCTAACTCAACCTCATTCATGCAGACAGACTGAAAAGGTAAGACATCCAGATAGACAGAATGAATAATGCATACTTGCAAAATGCAAACATTTACGAGCATGGACATGGGGCAGATGCATAATCTAGAGATCCTCCAAACAAGTGTTAATAAGATCTTTATTGCACACTAATCAACACACATTCCATACACATCATTTATGCCACAGAAAAATGAGTTTATTATTATCTTGGAGCAATCAAGAAATAGATTGTGACATCTCTTTTTGTTAACAAACAATGCAGTAAGAACACACGTAGATAACAGCGAGGTACAAAAGGTCTTATCTGTTTCGGGCTATGTGCAGGAACTGAAGGAGAGATCTCATCAATCAAGGAATATCAAGATAAGATAAAGTGCTGACAGTTCAGGCATCACTGGAGGAGGATCTTGTGGAAATAGCCTTCACATAGCAAGGGAGGGAGTAAGGGATGGGGGCAGAAAATAACGATGATATTCCTTATTGGTATGAATTAGAAACAAATTAATTACCTTCTTTGGGATGGCTGCATTAAAGCTGAAACTTTATCATCAAAGAATTTCTTCATAGCAAATCTGTCTAGAGCCTGATCAGCACTGTCAAAACAGAGACACAGATAACATGTTATTCCAGTTCAGGATTATCTTGGAAATTCAGCACGTTACTGCTTGAAATATGCCAAAATATTTGGAAGGAAAAAGAAGGAAAGGAAGGAAACAGAAAAGAAAGCAGCACCTAACTTGCAACTCTGGCATTTACAGGTCAGACAAGAATGTTTTTTCCACTGACACCTTCTCATTCCACACCTTTAGGCAGTTTCCTTCTTGAGGCAAAGCACCTACTCCCTTATTCAATTAACTGGATTGCATATTTCCAACGTGAATATGTTAAAGTTATAATGCAATAAACTTTAGCAATGCCAAGCAGCTCAGGCTGCAAAAGAAAGATACTTGCCGTAATTTCCTAAGAGTGCCACTGGGGAGTTCTCTCTGCGAAATACAAATTTATTCTGTTTTTAAAAAAGAAGCAGTAACATTACGGAGATGAAAACCACTGCCTAGCTCTGACTGTAGTACAGTACGTGAGGTACAAAGGATGCCAGCCTAGAGGATCATTTAAGCAGTCAAAAATTCATTCAGTCTTTGTTTCCTGTGCCCTGAGCCACCAAGGGAGAGAATGTTTAAAATAAAAGCGTCAATCTTTGAAAAAGAAATGTTTTGCATCAGACAACTACAAACTCTTCAAATGCACAATTAAGGAGCAACATTCAGAAAAATACATTTTCTTCCGTTCTCTACCCAGACTGGCTCTGATGTGGGTCTTCTGCATCTGTGCAGAGGAAGGCAAGAGGGTACAGAAAAAAGAAACAGAAGTGCCAAAAATCAGTAAGAATGCTGCTTATCACATATGCCAAGTAACATGCTATGCTGATTCTGTTGTATCTACACCAGATAAAACCAATGTGTCTCTCAACAGGTATAGTTGACAGTGTTAATTAACATCAGGACATAAAAAAAAGCAGAAGTTTCAAAATAATTAGACTCTGGAATATCAAACTTTAAATTCCACATCTAGTTCAACCTAAATGAGTTCCGAGGAAAAAAACCTGTGCAAAATATACATATGCATATCACGCTAAAAATGGAATTATACCTTTTCCAAAAATTAATCAGAAGTTACCGATTGTCTTGACAGGGTGCTGGATCGGGCTGTGAAGTTATGCCTTTTCTTCATGGATGTCAAAGATTACATAGTGTGTGCTTAGAATATGCTTGACCTAAAAACCCTCTTCTTTACCCAGCCCATCGTACATCTTCATACATCTTCACCCACACTACCACCCAGAATTTAGGCAACCCACTCATAACTGGCCAGAGACTGCTAATACTTCACCTGTTAAAACAGTGCTTACCAACTATTACAAAGAGCTCTGTTTGCCCTCATTAAATATGACGGCACATTATTCCTTCCGAAATGAGAAAATCAGATATTTATAATGTATAACCAAAAGGGGTTTGCATCATAATGCTTTTTCACTAAGCCTAGATTTTTTGGCATTTGCATGCTGAGAATTAGGAACTTTATTTAGTGTGAACATCCTCAAAGTCTTCTGAGTGCCATTTCTGACACAGCAGCTGGCACCCTCAACAGCAGCACCTGCAGTAATTTCTGCTTCTGTGAGGTTGCCCTGTAGCATTTTGAAGAGTCTTGATAATGCTAGGGATATACAAATCCTAGGTAGGAAACTTCCCCAACCTCATTCTTACACAGAAAAGTTCAGGTTTGGATAGTAGCTGACAGATATCCAGAAATTTGAAGAAGGGCTTCCAAACTCACTCATCCCCTGCAACCTCACCGGAGGAATCCTGAATTTGTTTGGGGTAAAAGATGACACTTTTCATCACTGGGCTTTACAATCATATCCAGGTGGTGTTCTGTTATGGCATTCCTAAAATGTATTTATAGCCAGGTACCACCTTTAAGGATGACACTATATTGCAACACTGAGATCACAACACAGTACTGTACTAGCCCCACTTGACAGATTTTGTCATTCACAATACTTGTCAACAAAATATTACAGAATTGTGGCAATCACTGCCCCAATTACTACTTGAAGATATAGGTATTTATTTTTTCAGCACATATTAGTGTGTATAATGCACTCGATTTCTTAGTCTACAATTACCTGTTGATCAGGCTTATGAGAGTGAACACAGATTATTTTCTGAGATGCTGGTTTTACTGAAATCCATTAGTAATTTGCCATCAGCCTATAGTGATTCAGGACTTCATCCGCTACAGTGTTGGATCAAATCTGTTACTGACAGACTGGTGTGAATTCAGAACCGGTTAAATTTGATTTAACCACGGCCTTTACAGGACATTTTAATACATTTATGTATGTATATATAAGAGACCAAGGGAAAACAGTTTGATTAAAAAACAAACAAAAAACCCAAAACAAAACACATTTCATCCTTTTGAGACCATTTATCCATTTTTATCTTTGTTGAGATAAATTATCAACTGTCATTTCATAATTTGAGCACTCTAAAAGAAACAATTAAAACCAAGTACTCAGACACCTATTGTTTGCACTGACTGCAAGATGGAAGTCTAGATTATTTCTTAAACTGCATTCTGCACTTTGATCAATGTCTAGGAATTCCCTATTCAAATACTGATTCCAGATTCTAATAACTGTTTTCCTCAACTACTTTAGGAATACTATATTGATTCAAGAGAGGCAACTTGATGGATGTGGCAAATAGATGGGTTTAATAGAATAAAGATGGTATCATCATATAAAAATTGTTTCTTACACATTTCTTCATTCATCTCAAAAGACCCTTTAGAGAATTTTTCCGCAGAATCACTGAATATCTCAGATTAGAAGGCGCCTTGGGGTGTCACCTAGTGCAACCTCCTGCTGAAAGCAGGACCACAAGAAAACTCTGTCATGAAGGCAGGCTGTTTTAAGACATGCTCCAAGACTCTTTGAGAAGAAAACCTAACAACCCTTAACTGACAAACAGTAAGGTGACAAACAGTACTACAATTAAAAAGCATCTTTTTCTGAGGTTTCCTTAATTGTAAAAAACACAATAGGCATTATTCACAACTTACCTTGCAGAAACATTGGTGAAGTACATGTATGATGATATGACTACGCCTATCCTTCCTTTTCCTCCCTGTATTAGGAAAAAGGGAATGATAACTTATTTATTACATTATTGGGAATTATTTTAAGAACCATACAAAACAAAACTTTAAGACAGGAGATTCAGAGAGTCCTTTCGCTTATGCATCTCCTGTGTTGTTGGAATTGTGGTAATGATGGGCAGCAGCTTGTCCATCTATGCAAGCTGGCTGACAAGTGACATAAAAACCACAAAGTAGGATTTCTACGTGCGTGCCTGTCAAGTCTTACTGAGAGGAAATTATTAAAACAAAATAATCTTAACCAGTAATAGAAACACTGTATCACCTATCCTAATTTTATATTACTTTTTCCAGAGATCTTTCAAGACAAGTCTAGACAACGTTGCAATTTTCTGGCATGAAATGCTATAAAATAGCTATTTTGGAAAGCATATGAGTTTCCAACAGGTTTGGGCATTGTTACCTCCCCAGCACCTGAGATTTATAACAACTACTACTTATGACATAAATTCAGTACAATTTACTAAGCAGTAATTCTCACAGATTTCAAAACAATTTCAGTCTCTCAGCTGATACAAGTTGCTGCGTCTATCTTCGTGGCTGGAAACTTTAAAGTCATTACCAAAAGGCAATAATCAACAATATGCACCACCAATTTGTATATAAAATACCTAGGAATATTTTGGCCCCTCTTCTTTTCTCCCATGTATGGGCCATTCTCTTGGCTGCAGTCCTGCAACTAGTAAGAATTCAACAGCATTTCATACAATCGTGGCATTCTCCCTGCAAGCAATTCAGGACTCGGGACTATACAACCTGACTTGAAGAGAAGTTTTGGTCCCATTATCACCCTCATTCTGTTTAGAGTAACATCCGCCAGTAACACAGAGACAGATTTGCCTCAAGTGTCACCAGCACAGCTACCAACTCAGTTCTGAATTAATTTTATCTATTTCATTCAGGCTTTTCTTTATTCCTCTTCATCATGAGCAAGCAAGGAGAAGTAGTAACACTGCACAACGGTAGCTTTGCTGTAAGGCACTGCAATGATGCCAGCAGTTAGAACCTATCAGAAATACCGAGGAGGTACTTAACGCCCTCATTTCCTACAGCCATAAGGCAGTCTAAAGGGATGATCTGTGATATGTTGCCTATCCTTATTCGGCAACAAAATCCACGAATGTCACGAAACATGAAAAGCTTCTAAAGAGTTTGCTACTGAGCTGGAAAAACCTCAAGCTTCTAAATACACTCACAGAAGTAGCACTGACCTTTGAAGGAAGTGAACTAACATCACTGCATGCTATACCCAGAGCAGAGGCTAGAACCGTAGTTATCATAAAAAAGCAGTATGTAACAAGAATGCAAGGTCAGTGGATTTAAGCCTACTTAAATCAACTGAAGATTTGGTACAATTTCCAAAATCGAAAACAGAGCAAACTTCTTTTTTTATTTTTTAAAATGAGTAAGAATAAAGGACAAGGTTTTTTAAAAGGAATACAAACTGATAGACGACGTGTATGCACAAAGCTCACTTACTCTGCAATGGATCACCACCACATGTTGAGGATCGTTGTTCAGCCATGACTCCATAGCCTTGCAGATGGTGCACACCTTATCGAGCGGCGGAGCATGGAGATCAGGCCACCCCACATCCATAATCTGCAATTAAATGAGTAACATTCACAAAAGACACTTTGATCCTAATACTGCATATTAAAATCTGTCTTCAAATAACTGTGAGGGTGCAGACCCTCCGCATTTTTTCCAACCCCAGATAATTATGTCATTCAAATGCCATGATGTAACTAAAATATGCTTACAGGTCTCTTAAGCAGAAGAAGGGCATTTGTTTGTTTTTTTAAAGATACTAGTACTTTTATAAAAACAAACAAAACCCAAACAAACAAAAAACAAACTTCCCCCAAAACCCACCAACCACTCACAAGTGACAACACTTCTGATAATCTTGATTTCTTAAAGAATTTTCAATTAGAAATTCAGGTGTTTTATAACGGTAAAATATTTAGGAGGTCAAAATTAGAACAAAGGATGTTAACTGGCCTAGTCCAGTATTTTGTGATTCGCAATTTATTTCCTTCATGTGCAACAGATGTGACGTCTCAAAACTTTGTTCATATTTTCTATTCAACTTTAGTCACTATATAATACTGTTTACTCAACCCATCATTATTGTACGCATATAATATGTAAACCCTAACAAAACCAGTAACCATGAGCAACTTAAATCCTTCATGATCAATAAAGCATTCAAAAGGTCAAAATTAAGAGTTCTAATATTTTCCTCAGGTAGCACATAACCCTGTAAATCTACTGCTACAAGTACACACTTGTGCTATACTGGCCTTACAATACCTGCTGAAAAGTACCTGCATATCGTTTTTTACAACAAACAAATACAACACTTGGTGAGGAGGAGGAGCAAAAGACAGACATCAATAGCTTCCTTCTTTATGTCTCTATTGTGCAGAGAAGCAACTATGAGAAAACAGTACAAAAGGGAAGTCTATATCTCAACCGAGTTCACTAGCTTGAGCTATCAGACTGTACGTTGCAGTATATAACCCCTAGCATCCTGTGACTGCACAGAGGAAGTATACTTGGAGTAAAATTTATGTCACTCAATAGGAATTTTTCAGTAGTCACAAGGGGCTTCAGATCCTGTGTGCAAAGTCTAAGAAACAACAGGAACAGCTATGCAAAGCACAGACCTAACAGACACAAAACAGAACTTCGGAAAAAGTAAAAAGGGATGCATGTGGGGTTTTTTATCATCTTCCAAAAGTTCTTTTACTCTGTGTCTCAACGCTTGCATCGCTTCAGGGCTTATCAGGCCATTTAAGTTGTATTTAGCACTAGAAAGAGAAGTATGTTATGGAAGACAACCAATACCTTTGGGTTAAGCTTGGCAAGGTCGTATCTCTTTTCAGAGAGGTTTAACACCTGTTCAGAAAGAAAGAAAAAAGTATCAGCCATCAAGACTTCGTAATTTATGTAGTAAATAGTTGTATTCGAAACACATGATAATTACAAGAAACTAGAGTGGTAAGGCTTCAGGTTTGCCTACTGTTTTACTAAACTAAATTAACATTTGAAGTCAGGTAGCACTAGCAAATGTATTTTAGGTATTCAGTTATCATACGATGAAACTAAAGATGAAACTAAAGGCACATTTTGAAAAAGGACAATTAAAATTCTGCTACATTTCATTTATTTTACATGGCTTTATTTTAGTCAGAGGTATATTGAGAGACCTGGGCACCATGCAAAATAACTGCACAGCATTAGAATTAACAAAGAAAAGTCTGGGAGGGTGGTACAGTCTTAAACATTTGAATTTGAGTGCCTGGCAAGAAAGTATTATTCTGTCAAAATTTCACAAGGAAGATGTGGCATAGCTATTTAACTATAACTTAGCCTGTGAGATCTTCCAACTCTTCTGCTAGCTCATTAGACAGTAAGTTATCATACACTTAGTGCTTAATAAGGAACAGCTAAAGAGATAGACTGCTAAATGAACATAAATAAAAATAAAAATAAAGCAATGTGTACAGGTATATCAGACTCTTTCATTAGGAAGTACTTTAAAGCAGTATCAATCAATAGCAAAAAGCTGAAATATCAATACTCAACAACTGAAACAATGCTCCAGAGGCAGATTCTCTTTCATTGTGTGGCTATTTCACATCACAATGAGTTAAGTACAGATGACATTCATAATCATTTAAAAAGTCTCATTACACTGCCAGAATGGGATAAACGGACCATAAATATGAAAAACGGTAAATATGAGGGGTAAGTCCATTATAGTTTACTACTTCCCAAGGACAATTTAAGAACCTTTTTCTGAAGTATATCATCCCATTCAGCGTAACCAGCACTCTCAACAGCAGTCTGAGCAAAGAAGCCAAGAACTGAACAGGCTACAGAAACTACATCATTTCACTTCCAGAGCTGGCGCCTGCTGCTCCCTGATGGAGTTCTTAAATAAGTTGAATGTGCAGCCCCATCATGGACACCGTGGAAGCAGGAAGGCACTATACTCTCTTTAGGAAAAAGTATGCTTTTTGAACAAGAAATTAATCCAGAGAATGAAGAAACCCCCAAATTAACAAGGGACCCCAGAAAATAGCTTCTATTTTAAGCTGCATAAGATTCTGGAATTACACATCATCTTGTCCATAAAGGGTATATGCAACTTTTATTGACCTCAAACCCCAAAAGAAAGCATAAAACATCTTTATATGATGAGGAACATGGTCTTTAGTCCAATATATAGTTTGCATTTTAAGCAGATTACTGCTGAAGAGCTAAATGGCAATCAAAAATTCATATGTGCACTGTCCATATTATTTTGGATCAGGATGATGTATCAACATTTGCAATTAAGACTATAGTTATTATCCTTCCAGAAACACCAACTGTAATTTAACAGGAATGAAACCAGAAGTGTCTTATACAAATGAAATGTCTGTAATTTTCTAGCAGTCTTAATATTTGCAAAACAATTTAGTGGAGAGTTGTACTTCTCAGTACAGAATTCTTAAGATTAGCGTTAAAGCTGTGTTAAGAGATGAATTACCTAAAATTTTGCACAGAAAAAAAGTGCTATTTGGCAAGAACTTTATTTTATTCATCTTTCTTGTCGTATTTATATGTAAGATCAGTTTAAAATTCCTGTATGTCAGGATACGGCCCTGTTCGTGATGGGTATTTGTCACTGCTGGATGAGATGCCAAAATGAAGATGCTGTTGTACCCAAGTCCCTGTCAAGCTATAGAGTAGAGATCAAACTGAGATACTCCAGGAATCCTATCAGTGCAGAACAGAGACCAGAAGGTACAGGAACCAACATTTCACATACAACAACAAAACAAGCGGTCACAGAAGTATTTGAAGAGAAGCACATGCTATAAATACATGATTAACTGCATCCTTTTTAGGCCCTTTTTGGCGTATCCTAGGTCAACTTACGTATATTTTGGTATAAGAAAGAGGAGCATTAGCCTTTAGTTCTATGAAACTTAAATGTTTTTGCCCTAAATTTTAGGACCTCATCTAAAGAATAAAAATGAAGTAAGATAAAAGAAGTGGGGAAAAAGAAACCCTTCTTCCTTATACACATCAGAGAGGAAACATCCCCCTTCCCATATGATTTTATCCTGAACTGGGAAGTTAACTCATACTATTAAGACAATATTAATTCTCCCACCCAGCTGAATGCTCAGCAACACCATAGGAAAAAAAAAAATAAGGAGAATGTTTAGCTGGAGAAGAGACCTTGATAAAGGTACTAAAGGGTCTTAGATTTTGTCTGCTCCTTAATCATATGACCAGAAATACAAAATCTAATGACAAAGAACAGAAACAAACAGCATGTAGCTGGCAATTTTGGAAAGCAAAAGATGTACTGTGGTCATACGACACAAGGTACTGACTGGGGAACAGTTCACCAGCCTACAGCCCGTTCCATTAAGGAGGAGAGACTGGGAGAGCAGGCAGGCAAAACTCTTCTACCAGGTGGGACCAAACTGGAAACAGTGGTAGCCTTGTGCTGCGTAAAGAGCAGGGAAAAGAGAAGGTGGCCAAAACATGACATAAACTAAAATTAACAAATAGTTCCAACTAGTAAAGCAACACCACCGTACAAGCATTACCATATCATTTACATATGCAAGACCAAGAAAATGTACAGTAGTTACATTAGTCTAACCTAGTAACAAATATGTATATGCTAAGACTACAGTGTAACCACCAAAATATTTTTTATAAATTGTAGCAGTGGGTTTGGGGTTTGTTTCACTTTTAAAAAAGAACTGACCATGAATTTAGACAATCGTATTTACTGTCAGATTCCTAACGCCTGTGACATAAATGAGTTACTGTTCATCAGCTGCTCTGTACGCCCCTCCGTAGATACCTCTCTAACTAATGAGCTAATTTAGAATAGTTTGCTCCTGAAAAAAACTCGATTACCTTTCAGTCACTGTGGATACAAAAATGTAACTGCAGCACACTAGTACAGGAGCTGACAGAAATAAGGTAGCTTGCTCATTTTTCACTGCTGTAAATCAACATCAAGAGAACTGCTTTGACAACCGTAAGTAATAATCACTGCAATAAAACTTGTTAGAAGCACTGCAAAAAACATACATATTTATCTGTTTTAAACACCAAAACATTCAGTTTTAGGAAATGAGCATATGTATACAGACAAGTATACAGACAAGCTTATAATGGATTTTTTTTGGTTAAAAGCTCAAAATATCTGAACAATTGAGCATTACTCCTCTCCTACAAGTGCAATGCATGGCAAACTTTTTAATCAAAATAGCATGACAAATACATTACTGATGAAGTTGATCAAAATGGTAACATAATGGTGAATTTATTGTTGCAAACTGAATTTTTCAGTTGACACAGAAATTGTGTCCTTTAAACTGTTTTTGCTTTTTGACAGATGTCTGCATTGCGTGCATTTTGAAAGTAGTGGTGTAAAACAGCATTCACTTGGAATCAAGTCTTTGAATCTTGCAATAACATGCATTCCTTTGTAAGAAAGAGAATTTGGGGGGGGAATAAAAGGATGCTTCGTTCTATCCTTTAAATCTCTTTACAGAACTGCTCACTTGCATACCTTTTTTGGAGGGTTTGGTTGGTTGGTTTTTTGTTGGTTTGGGTTGTTTTTTTTTTTTTGCTGCTATACACATGGCTCTTGAGCAGACTGAAGGGGGTCTTTGAAACATGAGAAACAAATGATAGTTTAAAAAGGGGCTCTCTGAATCTACAACCTGGCTGTGTTTGCCAGGTTACATTGCAAATTTGCAGAAACATACTTGGAGCAGACAGCATCAAACTTTCTTTTGACCAAGCCACCCAATTTCCAAAGTACTCATTAGAATATAAACAAATAAAGAGAACAAAACTAAAACAAAACTAAAACAAACCCCCCAAAAATCAAAAATCCAAACTTTGCAAGAGAAACTGACTGCAATCCCACTTTGAGAGAGGGCACCCAAAACAAGACTTACCATATGTCAGATTTTTGTAATACAAACAGGTATTTAGTGAGATTTAACTGGACTGAGACTACAAGCTTATTTCACAAATACCAAAACACTGCTGTCGCATGGGAAAGGCCACTGAGAACAGGTGAATGTGAATCAGTAAAGCTTTACAGACAGGTCGCCTTCAAACTATTGCTATCTTGTGCCTTACAAGCTACCAGCGTCTGATGGAAGGGAAGCCAAGAGCAAGAAGGTGGCATGCGGAGGACATCAAACCACATTACAAGTATTACAAGGGCATCTTGAGGACAATAGCTGGTTCATAATGCAACTATGACACCTCGGTTTGTCAGTGAAAGACAATCTAATTTAAATCACTAGGTGGAATCTCTCCAGAAACTCATGTCCACTGTGAGTCAAGTTCACAGTCCTGAAGCTGTGGATTTGATTCTAATAGTTTACACTAAAAGTTACTGCTAACTAAAAAGACAGTAGAAGAAAAAAGTAAATAAAATACTGGCCGTGTTTGAAACTCGCCTTCATGGAACAAGCTGAGACAATACATGCCATAGGGTTTAGATGCACTAGCCCGAAAACAGCACAGGACATTAGCAGTTTGGGTCATCATTTAAAAAAGAAAAACTTCTGCACACGGAGCTTATTATAGATTTGCTTACAACTGAATTTCCTATAGAAAACTAAACAGCAGGAAAAAAAATGCATCTAAATCAAGTTAATGAGAACGAGCTGGACAGAATACAAAACCAGCAACCCTACTTTTATATGGTGTTTCACAATATATAGTAGAGACAGCCTAGACATGATGGTGAGAGACCATCAGATACCCAACTGAGGACCCAGATGTAGCTAGCTGCTAGAAAAAAAACCACACTCCACATTGCAGTGTGTGTATCTTTTAAAAGCATGCTTTGGACAATGAAAATGGTCAGTGCAATTATGCTACAGCATTTGACTATGTGCTATCACAACAGAGACTGCAGTGCCACCAGCAGAAAAGTGCTTTTAATACCTGTCCTTGCCTAACAGCTTAAACCACTACTGAAAATCTTGCTCTTGCTTGCAAAGCTGTAAAGGTGGACCAAAGAAGCTTAGATGAGTGACTTTTAGTTTATAATGGTACACATGGACCTACAAGTGGTCTTCCTGCAGGACAGAAGATGATATATCACAAAAGACTGATCCTACACATACCAAGTAATTATCTCCATGTTTGGATTTGAGCATTCGGGTTACATCTTGTAGATTGTGGAGGTAAGTTTCCTCAGAACAGCTAGCAGGGAAGGATACAGCGATGATCCGCTCTGTGATGTAAGTGAGGTCAAGTTCATAGCCTTCCTCCATAATGTGATCAAAGTCTGCACTTCTGTGAAGAAATTAGATGTGGCAGTTCAGAGCAAAGTGGCTGAGAACAAGCATAGCATACTAACGAGAAGAAACTGCAACTTGGATTCATACAGTCAAGCATCTGATGTTTCCAATATTTTCATTACAATTACAACTTATTAAATGCCTACAGAGCTCAAATTAGTCAGTTCAGTACACAAATGGAGTTAGCCAAACATCAGAGTTCTTCACGTTAAAACTGTAGTGAAAAAAAATCTCTGCAACCAATAATGTAGAAAAGCAGTAAAATGAATACAAGCAACTTTGACAAACACCAGTGCAACAAATTTGGGAGTTAAATAGAAACCATATAGGTACTTATGTCTGCACAAATCTCCTTTTCTGTAGAATTCTGCAAATGCTTTACAAATTGGTAGATTCAACAGTGATCTGTAAAACACTGCAGGTGGATACCATCTTGAAATCTGCTCTGAGTAACACTGAAGTGAATCCAAAACCAGTCCCCAAACTGCAGCAGACAGCAATGTCATGCAATTAATCTCACAGGTTAGTCTACAGATACTGTTTACTCTACCTTCTCCTCCTTTTCCAGGCTGAGGACACAACCAGGCACCTTACCTTGTCCTTCTTAATAGGATAATCAGAAGATTACAGTCCTTAAGTTAAAAGTAAGCTCACTAAATATGCCCAGTTGTTTTCTCAGACAGGGACTGTAAAAATGGTCCTTGCATAGCAGGACTTGTCTTGCAGAAGACTGAACTCACAGAAATCACAACCTCAAGTAACAAAACCTAAACCCACCACAGCAGTATGTGACACTACTACACAAAATATTGAAGAAATACTTACCGTGATCCTTTGTCACAAGTGAAAGAGGAGTTCTTCGAAGCACTGCTGGAATTCTAGAACAAAGAAAGCAGAGCAGTCAATCCAGTACCTTCCTTGCTGCCACTGATGTCACTATTCCTGCCTTTTTTCCTCATTTATTATATCCACACTGTGGAAAACTATACCAACAATAGGATAAGAGAGGATCATCGCCTTATGTTTTGACCACAAACACTGTGGTTATGGCCAGGTTATGTCAAACTCTTCATACAGACTCACGACTACCTCTTCCAACTCACTGCTGCCAGAGAAGGGCTGGCTGTCTTTTGTGCTCTTCTTGGTAACTGCATTAAGATTAGAGAAAACATTCAATGGACTTCTGAGAAGATAGAGATTGAATTTCTGTATAAACCTGCAAAAGTAAGTTCCTCTCCAGTGATTCTCTTACAACAATATTGAAAAATTATACTCAATTTATTCCAGTATCAGTCCTGGGAGTTTGAATAGAAGCCTGAGCTGCAATGGTTTTGCTTTACAAGAATTTAGTGTGTGTCCTTCGTAGTTCCATTTGCTCAGTAACAGTAACTATGCATTAAAAATGTCACAATGTTCTCCCCATGAACCTTAGTAACAGAATTTTTCTCACCTAATTTTAACTGTCTCAGAACTAAGCTCCAGTGTGATACTCACCCAAGCTCTCTGTACGTAATGAGAGAAACAGGGACATCTAGAGGGGCAGTATCCCTTCTCTCCAGGATAGGTTTTTAGAAAAAGACAGCTATTGCTATACTAACATTAAATAAAAATAAATAAAAATATTTACTGTACATTTAGATATATCTTGTTATACAGAAAATCAGAAGTTCAATTTAGTATCATGTATCAGTAACTCCATAAGAGAAGGAGTATTCACTCGTCTTCCTGCCCCGAATTTATACTTACTAATACAGAAAAATGCACAGAAGAGCTTATTAAGATGAAGGGTAAGAGCTGGAAAGCTGATAAACCCTATCTATTTTGGCTACACACATGACAAATATTCCCAAAGCAAATAAATTGTGTTTGAATGGAAGAGGCCTTAGAACTTTCCAGACAGTGACACTGTGTAACAAAACCTGGGAACAGCTAGGACGCATACAAGTATGCAAGTGGCACATTTCCTTCCAAAATTTCTGGAAATGAGCTGTTCTGGCAAATATTAAAGCACATCTGATGGCGTAAGGTGCAGCTCACCTAAGTGTTTGGTCCCAGTTCCACTAGTTCCTGTCTTTGCTTAGACACAGAAAATGAGGAAACTTCATGGTATTTTCAGCTTCTTTTTACCAAGTACTTTCTTAGGATTTTAAAGGCTGTAGGTAATACACCATGGGTGCCAAAACAAGTAAATAACTAATAACTGAAATTCAAGACAAAGCTTTTAGCATGTTTTGTTTTGTTTTTATAACTAGAAAGCAATTGGCAGAACATGCCTCTCCCTCCACTTCCTTGGTCTCCGTTGGTCACACAAATGTATCCACTGCTTAAGGAGTAATTCCACCATTTTTTAATAATTTTATGACTAAACCTCCATGTAACCTGAATAATCAGTCACTTAGTGGCTTCCTCTGGTAAGAAAATAAGTGATAAAATAATTCTCTGTTGCACACTGCTGTAGCATATAAACTAGCCTATAACCCAGTAGCATGCAGCATAGAAGCGTATGAACAATAACATAATGCAAACCACTAGCAGAAAAAAAAACTCTGTTAAGTGAGATCTATATTTACTATATGCGTGCCGTGTCACCTACTGAAATGCACAGTACTATTACCCTTTCCTGCTCTGTGTACAAAAATGGATAATCCTGGCAATCCATAATTCAGCAGCTGGTACAACTTAAATTACCAGTGCTGCTTGAAAATAAATTTTCCTCAACTATCTATAATACAGTTTAAAACTCTAGCTGATTGGTTGCATGTATAAAAATATAAATATATCAGTTTTAAAGGACTCTTCTTCTGAAATCTCACCTGGGTATCATGTTTCATTGCATGGTCTCAAAAAGCTGCAACACTCTTCAGTCTGTCATTATGGGTACGCTTTTATACAAATTCTGGACAGCTCCCAAAATCAACAGACCCCTAACCATCTTCAAAAGATACTTTGATTCAGATCACAAAACTTCCCATTGCCTATCTATGGGGCAACAAACTACTAAACTTTACCTAACCCTTCATAAGGTCAAGATCACCTTGTACATTATATGTTGACTACAGTCGATGTGTTGGCAAACGGACAAACAGTCAAGGACATGCCTCTGGTTTTCTGCAAGTCCTCTAGATTAGTCACTTCCCCCTCTCTTCCATGGCTTAATTATCTTGTAGCTAGCGATGCATTCTTTTTTCCTCAGTTTGTCTTTTTACTATTTGTTTTGTTTACTAATTATCAATGACTACAACACTAACTTTTCCCCTCACAGCTAAAATATTTAGGAAAATCCAACGAAGATGTAACACATGACTTACTACAGAGGCAAAATGGTTACTGAAAAAGCTTTTAAAGGTTTAATGAAACACATACCATATACGCACACACCCCTAGAACATATTCTCAAACATGTGAAGAAGCTGTTAACAGCATTTCTCACAACAGGCAATCTGTAAACGCAAGCCATATCTTACCATGCTTCTGACTGAATTTGGGTTTCATAGTCAACAAAAATCAATCTTGAACTTCTGTGACTACCTCTCTTCTCCCCCCCGCCCCCAACATTTCTGCATGGTTTCAGGGTCATTTCACTGATTGGAAGGCATTCTTCTTCACTCTGGACCAAGTCACACACACCTACCAGCAGAATATGAGTTTCACCAAGCACAGGACTCAATGGCACAGGGCAGACTATCCATAAAGGCAAATCATCTCCATCCAAGTAAAAAAAACCCACTATTTTCTGCCTTGCTGCACAGCGGAGGGATAATGGCAAAACATTTGGCTAATCTTCCAAGACAGCAAATTCTACCTGGCATCTCCCAGGATGGACAGTTACACAGAAAATTTTGCAAAACTAGGTATAAGATTTTCATTTTCTGTCAACCAACAGCAGTAAAGATGAAGGGGAACAAAAAATAATGGCTTAAAATAGGCTGTTTAACCACACCCGGCTAAAAATTTAGAGTTGTAACTCAGACAGATCCAGTGGAACTAGCACTTAATTTGTTCCCAGTAGGACAGACCACCCTGAGACTATTCTTCCTTGAACTTCTCCCCAAAATTCTTGTTCACCTGCTTCCCTAGGACTGCCTAGCACTGCAGACAGTACAAGCAGTCATTTGCGAAGAAGAGTTTTGAACAAACACCTCCCATTTACCTATTCATTCAGTTTTAAGGAATTTTTATACCCTAAACAAACAGATCAATCCCAAACAAGAACACATAAAAGTTATCCCTCTGTAAACAAGTGCAAAGACCCTTTTGGTCAGGCAAGTTTAGCTGCAGTTGTTGTACAAAAACCAGCAGGGGGAAGCAATGGCTTCTCCAAACCCAACTGTCTTCTCGCCAGCCACAGAATGTTATTAACGAGCAAATTCATTGCATTCGAGGTACTGCGCGATTGCCCTTTTCCAGCGAAAACTCAAGCCGTGCAACTCTTTCCTTTGACATCCTCCTTACTGCTTTTTTTACCATCCTGGGCTCCTGGATCTAGTCCCGGGCACACTGCAGAGCTTGCTAACCCAACTGTCTCAAAAATGCAGTCCTCTGATGAGACCAGCCCAGAGTCCAGAACAGCCTAGCTGTGATACAGAAGCGAAGAAACGAGCCCATGTTTAATTCTACATCATTTTCACTGGGTCACAACAGTCACTAGAAGGCAAGTTTCCCAGCGCAGCCTGCTGTCAATGGAAGCAGAAGAAGTGGGCAAGACAGCAATAAAAGCACAGCTTGGAAAAAACAGGCTTTCGAGATCAGTCCTGTTTATTCACCTTCCTCTGACTCCGAAGTGCGTGAACCTGCTTCTGGATTACCTGCTCTGCCTCAAATAGCAAGCTTGTGCTGTCCCAGGCAGCAGGCTGCATCTCATACCTTTACAATCTCTCTTCCAGTCTCTCCACAGCTTCAGAGCGAAAACACGATGCAGGTACAGTGCAGGCCATCTCACACAGCGTGGCACTGAGGTGGCACTGAGATATCTT